AATTATGTCCATTCAGCCGTGTCGGATTTTAATCTAATCTCTAAACTTAGAACCTTATAAAGAAAAAAAAATCACAATATATGTAACACCGGAAGATACAGTCAGGTCAAACATTCATTTAAATGAATCAACAAAGTCCTTTTTTATCACTCAAACCATTTCAGAAGTGCAACATGGTGTCATAATTGAAAAACCACTAAAGATGTTCCAATCTTCAGTTGTTTAATAAAACTGTGAAGAAACTGATCCTTTCCTGCTGTGCTCCTCCAAACATTCACATAAGATAACATCCACTTTGCTTTTGCCCACCAGTGCTTTCAAAACATTTGGACCTGCAGGGGAGACAGAAAGAGAGATTAGTGTTTTTTTGTATGGTAGTAGAAGAAATAATAATAATAATAATAATGGATCATTGTTATAAATAATAAATAATAATAATAACAGCCATTATATTTTATATAATTTAAATAGTATTTATTTAAATATTGTTGTTGTAGACAGTGTATTTTTCTTTGTCTGTTTTAATGGGGTAATTGTAACTTTAATGTTCGGTCATTAAAAAAACACGAAAGTCCTAATAAATTACTAGATATTGTTACATGCTCCGCATTAGAACCCAAATAAACGTTTCATATTGCAACTCGCCATTCAACCAAAGTGGAGATTAAAGGGAAGGGTGTCATTTACTGGGATTGCGCTGTTGTGGCCACAGGCGCGAACACGCATTGCTCTTTTTCACTTTGACAAACCACAATTCCTTTAAAGATGAGAGTTCCCTCCGGACGCGGGGCGTTTAGAATTTGATTAATTTAGCAGTTTAAACAGCGAGAGGCAACGCTGGGCGAGATCCCAGCGATAAAGGCACGCGGAATGATGGTGGATGAAACATCGTTTATTTAGCTGTGACTTGCGTGTTACTAAATAAATTACACAGCGCGTTAATATAATGTGAAACACACGCTCCCGTATTCTACCGTCTAAAATTCTGCAGATATGAACTTTTCAAGTGTTTTTAATGCCCGATCAGTTTTAAATCTTAAATGAAGAACCGCAAAACTCCATCAATTGTCCATGTTTTCTATATTGTTTATTTAGATGTTCTCGCAGTCCTACAAGCACATTTATCATTATGGTTCATCCTTGACATGCAGCGACCTGCAGTCTTCTCCAAAATGTGATACTTGGGCTCAGGCGAATGAGTTCAGAGGAGAAATGGCACTTTGCGTTGGAAGACTCATTTTTCATTCACTTTAATTCGAACACAAAGAATTCCAAAAGCGCTCGCAGTGAATTTTCAAAACAGTATCACCAGGATAATGGTGGCTGTCATCATCTCCAGAGCATTCCACAATAGCAGGTGCACAACTGAAGCTTTCCATCCTGTCTTGAAGTGTAAAAGTTTTTTTCTGCATCTGTAACCCAAAGAAAGATCACACTTGATTAATGGGACGCCGTTCCTAGATCTATACATAACATAAGATAACGGTTATAGGCCTAGACTACTTTTTTAGATAGATAGATTTTAACTGGAATGAAACAATATAAACTTTTTATTAGTCGTGTTTTTAAATTAGCTTTGCGTTTACGTTCTCAAAACGGCACCATCAAATGCAAGTACTGTAAAAGGAATAGAATTGATAGAATCCAGCCATCATGACGTCAAATTATTATTGTTATTATTATTATTATTATTACTCTAGTTGTTGTTGTTTGTATAATTTATTAACAGTGTAGAGAGCAGGAAAATATAATAATCTTAACTTAAATAATAATAATAATAATAATGCGCCAACATTTGTTATAGTTATGCTTCAATAATATCTATCAAAATGTTACAATGTTATGTTTAAACGGAAAAAGGTTAGAACGTACTGATCCTGATAGCCTACTGATAACAGTTTTGGATTTAAAATTATAGTTTGCCATAATAAGAATTAATTCTGATCATGATGATGACAAACAAAAACAACAACAATAGCAGTAGTAGTAGTAGTAGTAGTAGTAATAGGTAGGATATATTCATAAATTATTTTATTTAGAAAACGTTGCATTTCATTTAAACATATCTGTGCTGGATTCAATTAAACAAAAAGAAACTTGCGCCAAATAACAATGATCTTTGTAAATATATTGCTCACCGTTGTTTATTTGTCCGTGCATCTCGAGTCACCCGGGCGCTTGTCAGGTTCTCCTCTTCTCAGGATATCTTAAAATGTGTAGACTTAAAACTGTTGTGATACAGTCGGCTTTCCTCCCACACAGATGAATCCCGATAGACATGTCTCGAAGTGGATATTGGCAACATGTTGTTTTTAACATTTTTTAACCAGGTTCCCAATTCACCTCCTCGTTGCGCTTCTCCACACTGGTTTCACGTGTATTCTACATGCCTTATAAAAGGCCCTAATCTAGCCCCATGGCAATGCGATGCACTCATCTCTTGATACATTTGGGTATATCAGCTTGAGCACTTGCAGTTTGAGCGTCATGTGGACGAGAGGACAGTTTTAAGGAATTAAGTCCCCGTAAATCCCTCCAGCTACGCAACAGAAATGCAAGAGGTCTGCGTGGATTCAAGCGTCCGTATTCAACATTTGTTTTCTCCGCTTTAACCTCGGTGTTATATTAATAGAAGAATAAAAACTGAGTCTGCTGTTTTCACTCGTTATTAATAATCATGCTCGAGATTAGGCTATATAAATTATACTATTGTTTCCTTTGCAACTTTTTGAAGTGGTAAAGATACAAACTAGCGTAGGCTCACTAAGGGCCACCGGAGTTTTAAAAAAAGGCATTTCAAACAGATCAATCACGCAAATATATAAGAGCATTGTTTTTAAAATAGGAGTGTAAAAACAAAAACAAAAATGCATTTTCTTTCCACTTTATTCATAACACTATGAGTTAATGTTACAACATAAAATGACATTCCTTTGATTCTCAGAGATGAGAATGTGCTCGGCTAGGGCCTCGCTCTCATTGGCTGGAGAGTTTGCATCAAAAAGTAGCTGTCGCCGTTTGTTTCCCTGCAAAGGGCCCTGCGAGAGAAACAGACTCCAGTCCTGAGCTCTTCATTGGCCAGCGTGCTGTACAAATCAGACTCCAGCAACTTCAACCCAGAAGAGCAGCGAATCATAACCGTATGTGCTTTAATCTCTCTAACCATTTTATCCATTCTTCGCGTTTAGCTGTAGAGGCTTCATCATAACTCATTTGCTTCACGGTTTGAGGAAAAGGATTTTATCTTGATGTCTTCAATATTTTTGTAACCATTTAGACGTAGGCTATATTCGCTATTGGACATAAAACTTTAACGGACTTCGAATTGAATCCAGTTATTCAGTAAGTAGCCCGCCTTTAGTCGTGTGCAATATATTTTTCTGCATTAAGTTTGCGAACAATTCTATTATTATTATTATTATTATTATTGTCGTAGTCGTTATTGTGTAATATAAATGAATCTTACTGTGCAGTCTTCATCTTTTTATGTCTCAAACGTTCTCTTGATGCTTGTATTTTGAGAACGCCAAACAATTAACCTATATGTTTAACTTGGTCCTTAAATATATATATATAGCCTATCGATATTTACTGATACACATCTTGACTTATGGTAGTACACCGTTTCACAATTTTTTTTTTGTTTTATTTAATTTAAATCCACGGCTACTAACTGATTGGTTTTCTCGCTCATTTTAACCGTTTGGGTGCAAATTGATAAAAAATGAGCGAACAACTAGCGATATAATTCGGCACACTGCTCTTATTGCTGATGAGAATATGAATACAAATAAACAAGAAGTAGCCTACAAAACATGCATTTTATATTTTCGTTGCATACCGCTTGATATATTTTCCCCTTTCTTGTACAAGTAGAAATCTGATGCTTATAGTCTCAGTAGCCCTACTTATTTTTTAATTTCAATAGTTTGTTCTGTATCATGTCAGAGACACCGTTGCATTGAATGTCAGTGTAAGTGTGTGCGAGCGCGCACGCGTGTGATTTTTATTGTACTCATGCACAGAATCAATGAGGCCAAACGTTCAGCTGAAGAGGTAGCGTCCAATAATTAGGGGAGCGCGTGCCACACGGATTATCTCGTTAATTTATCAACAACAACATTTATCATAATTAATTCTTGGATGAGGTAATTACTATTGAGCGGCTGCGCAACTGGTAGACGAGGGCTGTTTTAAATGACAGATTGAGGGGCGAAACCGTTGGATTAAAAAAAAAAACGTTTTTTTTTTCATAAGGCTGAAGTTTTTGTTTAATAATTTCATCATTTATTCAGACAGGATTGTGATTTGGATGTTGCTGAACTTCGGTTAATTTGGAAGTTTTGCTTGATGACCCATAGCCTATTATAAGAAACTTTTTTACGTTTCATTTGGGCCCAAAAAAAATTTGATTGGCTAATATAGCCTAATCTGTACCTTTCAGTCCAATTATTTTGAAATTCTAAGAAACTAATATCTAAACTAATGAAATTAACTAATGACACTGCGTCAGCAATCTATCTAGTGACAAAATGTTTAATGGAAAATCTACAAGATTAAAGTTGAGCTGTTTGCTCTTTTCAGCGAAGAAATAACGGATGTAATTTCTGTAAAATACTAAAGCACGTAATTATAAGTTTATACTCTTCTGACTGATATGAGTGGGGGAAAGAGGGGGTTACTTTTGTCATTGTTACTTTTGTCCCTCGCCAATGGAGCTTTTGTTATTAGCATTAGTTATCAGGCTAACAGTGGCCTTTGTTTCCACCAATAGCTCCCAATCAAGTGCTCTTATGCCTGAGACAATTAGCCGGGATCCTATGCAAATTGTGTTTCTGGCTTGTGTGCACATTTGAACGACTGAGTTTTGTCTTTGTGAAGACTTGTTGCAATTAATAGATGTTACTTTTTGGAGTTGGTGGGGAGAGGGGAGGAAGGGGAGGGACGGGGGGCGTTTGTCAAGATGAGCTTCGTTCATCTCATGAGGACAGCTGGAGGTCTGGAGCGGCTTTAAGAGCTCGTTGCGGTGTGGACGGGGTTTATTCGCCTATAGGTCATCGCAGCTAGAGGAACCCAGTTTCTATCTAATGACAGACGTTGAAACAACAACCTCCGTCGTCGCAATTAAGTGAACGTCTCCATTTATCTTTGTTATTTTTGAAAACAGGGTTTTTGGTTTCACATCCACCGCTGAAGACGTTAACAAGCTAGAAGCAGAGATAAAGCAAAGGAAAAGAGACTGAAGGGGCCGGTGTTCAGCCTTCCGAATTTTCTCCAACTTTAACCCCCCACAACCATCTTTAGCATGATGTCGTATCTCAAGCAACCACCTTACATGGTCAACGGGCTAAGTTTAACTACCTCCGGTATGGACCTTCTGCACCCTTCCGTTGGATACCCAGGTGAGAGACAATCTTCCAAATTAATCATTTTATGTAATAGATGGTTGGAATGAATGCACACAAGGATATACTGAGTTGTCCTTTATGGATTCAGGACTATGTAGGCTAGTTACACTTTTGCCCGTATGTGCTTAAATGTAAATAGCAGGCCTGGCTATTTGATTTGCTGGTTTTATATGCTTTCTAGTCTTATAATTACACTTCCACTCGAGGCTTCTTGAGATGCAAGTTATTCAGCGGTTATGTGTAGCTGATGCATAATTAAATTGTGGAGTTATGAAGCAGTAATGAATTTTGAACCATTCTGTTTTTTGAAACCCATTCTTACACAATACAATTTGTATTATGCCTTATAAATTATAAGAATTTAAAAACATAGCCAGTTGTTGGTGAATTAAAAATGTATCTATTATTCTGATATAGCCTATTTAGTAGGCCTATGTTGTTTTTATTTCACTAATGATAACACATCAAAAGGGAAAAAGTTTAAAAGTATTAAAATGTTTTATTAAAAAAAAATAAAACAAATTACGTCAAACGTTTTATGAATATTTACGATGCAGTTTCAGATATATTAATATTTTATCGTAATATTTTGGTAGGCTATCATATATTAATATTTATAACCCTCTTTTAAAATAAATCTATGCATGAAAGGTTTTCGGATGGACAACCTTGTGATACATTTGTTTATTTAAAACAGCGACTCCTCGAAAGCAGAGGCGGGAAAGGACAACATTTACTAGAGCGCAACTAGATATTCTGGAGGCTTTATTCGCGAAAACGCGCTACCCGGATATTTTCATGCGAGAGGAGGTGGCCTTAAAAATCAACTTACCGGAGTCCCGTGTACAGGTACGTATCATTCAAGTCATGCAAGTGTTTTCACATTAAAACATCTAAAAAACCATAGACATCTTTATAAACTGAGAGGCGCACTATTAGTAACTATCATGATAATGGTTGTCGTTTCTTATTTTGCGCAAAGACAGAACATAGACAATTATTCTAACTTCAGTGCTGCCCCACAACTGAATTAGGCTGGTTCACACCGTAAATATTAATAAACCCTGTTTTTACGACGTCAGGTTTGGTTCAAAAACCGAAGGGCAAAGTGTCGCCAGCAGCTGCAACAACAACAAAACGGAGGCCAGAACAAGGTGCGACCTGCCAAAAAGAAGAGCTCTCCAGCGCGGGAGGCCAGTTCTGAGAGCGGGGCGAGTGGCCAGTTCACCCCGCCCTCCAGCACTTCAGCCCCGGCCATCTCAACCACAACCGCGCCGGTGTCCATTTGGAGCCCGGCCTCCATCTCGCCGCCGTCAGACCCACTCTCTACCTCCTCCTCCTGCATGCAGCGATCCTACCCCATGACCTATACTCAAGCGTCTGGATACAGCCAGGGCTACACTGGTTCCACATCCTACTTTGGGGGCATGGACTGCGGCTCTTACTTGACGCCCATGCACCATCAGCTGACCGGGCCAGGATCCACTTTGAGCCCCATGAGCAGCAATGCTGTCACCAGTCACCTGAACCAGTCTACCGCGTCTCTTCCCACGCAAGGTTACGGTGCCTCGGGGCTCGGCTTCAACTCCACCGCGGATTGCTTGGATTATAAGGACCAAGCGTCCTCGTGGAAACTGAACTTCAATGCTGACTGCTTGGATTACAAAGATCAGACTTCCTCCTGGAAATTCCAGGTGTTGTGAAACTAACAAAACGTCTGCCATTCTGTCCAATCAACACACTAAAAGACCATAAAATAAACGTTGTAGACCTGCCATCCTTCCAAAAACAGAAGTGCTCCGTGACACGCGAACTCTCCGAGATGGATGGGTTGCATTGTGCCCGACAGCGCTTTTGAAGTTTGTCTTTGACATGAAATATCTATTTGAGCTACATGCACCCCTTGTGGCCTGCAAAGTAGTATTTGAAGGGTCGTGAATGCGTATAAACATAGGCCATTTGACCACAACCTGTTGTTTAAGGTACAGGGAATTGTAAAAAGTTAGGTCAAAGCCACGGAACAAATCCCTACACAAGAAAAGAGGAGGGGAAAAAACTACTTGGCAAAAGGAGCCAATCTTTTGGTTAAGTGCTTGGAATGGGCAGGCTTTCTCTAAGCCTCTTACAGCACGCCGACCTATTTCAATGTTGGCAAGACGAGAGACACTTCCATCAGGAGGATGATAGAGAGGATGTGTGCGAGTGCGTGTGTGTGTGTGTGTGTGTGTGTGCGTGCGTGTGTGCGCGCTGAACGCCCCCATGGCGACCTGGATGCACTACTTTATTTAAGAAAAGGTGTTTATAAGGAATCAATATGTAGTTTTTAAAAGACAATCAATGTGTGTCTTATATAAATGGTACATTTGTGTTTTTTATCTGTGCTAGCCTTCGAAACTGTGATCTGTTGTAACTGTATGCAATTTGTGAGCTCCGTCGCATCTGCGAAGACTCGGCTGTGATTTTAATAGATTTGAAACTTTTTTTTTTTTTCTTTAAGGAAACACGACGGTAAATAATACTAGTCACATGATTACTATTGGATTCATTTCAAGAGACAAACAATCTCGAAAATACAGGGACTCGAGAGAATGTGTAAGAAAGGAACTGTCTGTCCCCGTTCATTGATTTCTATTGGTCATAACTGATATACCACCCACGTGGATCTGAAACTTGTCTGGAGTGGTAATGTGGTCCCGCCACAGAAATATTAATAAACAATTTCAAATCTGACACCATATTTAAAGTTATTAAGTCTGGACGAGTTATTCAAATTTATTATGAATTGCATGTGTGTGCTTGTGTTTTAATAGGTTAGCTACAATAGATTGAAATGCAGAGGCTAATAAAAAGGTGATTAGGACGGAGAGGCCCGATTTATGAGAAGAAAGAAAAAAGACATCAGAACCAGCAAGTTTTAATCAATGATGATGTAGGCTATCAAGAAACAAATGGCAAATAGAGTGTAGCCTACGTTTAAACAGTTTATTTATCAGATTGATAGTAATCATTTAAAAGCGCTCTAAATGTGAATCATTTCATTTATTAACTTCATCCCAATTTAAAAATGAAATAGTGTCCGTTTCCTTTGGAGGAATGAAAACAGGAAACCCCGTGCATATCCACATTAAATGTTAACAGCATTCTCCTAATTGACTGATTCACAAGACATTGCCCACCTCAACTCAACGTCGTATCATTTTGTAATAAAATGTGCGTCAACAAGTGGTTTATAAAGGGTCATGCTTTGATAAGGCATAGACCCACTCAGAAACTTAAATTAAAGGTTAAATTTGAAAAGCACTGGCTTGTATGAGTCTTGTAATTTGGCTATTAAACATCGGGACACTTAAAGTAAATGTATCTTTGGAACTGCAAGGCATGAGCAAATTTTAATTATTTCTCATTTTCCCCGCTGGGTTTCCGGCCCTTTCGTTTTAAGAGACATTGCACCAGGAATGTGCGTCTTGGGAAAGTAGCGCTAATCCGCGCCTCAAAGACCAGTTAATCCCAAAATTTCACTGGCGGGGTTTCTTTAGGGCAGAGGGCAACTCAAACGTAACTCAAAGCCTACTTTAAAGACCGCCTTTTCTGAATGCAGAACCGCACCATTTTGCTCTGTATTGCAGCAACGGATGGCATTTCACAATAGAAAAGTGTAGCCTGTGTGTATTCATGTCGTAACAATTATACAAACGTAAAAATAATAGGCTACTGTGTACTCATGACACGAATTCAGAAAAAAAAACCAATTACATTAAAAATGAACATACAATGGTAGCCTACTAAAAAAAATTGATTTAAAGAGGCATACAATAAAGTACAAATTCAATACCTTAATTCCAAATTTGATTTAAACTGCTGAGGACATAGCTAACACCCCGGAGTCCTCTGTGGCTGAATGGAAAACTTTCACAAAGAGTCCCCTCGGTAAAGGAGGGGTAGAGAGCGAACTGAGGACTTTACCGTCGGGTCCTGGAATAATTCTATTGTAAGGGCCTGACTTGAGCGACATCTCATAATTACACTAGTTCACTAGGAGGCAGGGAGTCAGAATCGAATCTTTGAATTATTCCATCATAATTGCGAGCAGTGGAACATTCAATTATCGTCCTTGACATTGCCAAATAATCTCCTTTTCATTCACATCATCACTAAAGACAATTAAAAGAATGGTGCGAAATGATCAAAACATTTATAGCAACATTAAACCGTTTTCAAATGAATTTGGAACGAAATGAAGCTTAATTAATGCTGTATGTTCGAAATATGCCCAGAATTCATTGTCAGAGATATATTTTCTTAAACAGCTTTATACTTCCCATGATTTTTTTTATTTATAATTTTTTTTACACAGGCTGTCAAACAGCGCGATAAAGAAAAAACAAACAAAAATGTATATGCAGTTGATGCGTTACACACAACACTGTATAAAGATGTGACATGTCAGACAAAAAAAATAAGCACTACAGCGAAGACGAAAACAACAACCTAAAGAATAACACTGAGTAATAACTAAATAAAACTACGCGTAAAAATGGCTGTCTGAAATAACGTCGCCTGACATTAGTCTGAATGTCATAATATCTGCCCGATCTTGTGAACTCTGCGTTAGGAAAACTAACACTAAACTAAATTGTTTTACAAACACATTTGAAAGGATTTTTATAGATCATTGTTTATTAATTCATTACTCAAATGTTATTCAAATATTATTTGAACTATAACCTATTTTGTAGAAGAAATATTTGAAGCAGCTCCATTTTCATTCTAACTTTAGAACCTCATATAAATGAAAATGTTTATGTATTTACATAGATTTTCTTCGTTTTTACACCTAACGATTAGAGGCCATGGTCATTTTTTCTCTCTCTCTGGACCACGAAGGAATACAACGACGACTGATGTTATCCAGGCTGTCAAGAAAAAAGAATAAAAACAAATAAATAACTGATGATTTTGACTTCTAAAATGACCTTGACAAGACCTCGAATACAGTATATTTTAACACGTGTCGCCTGTTTTGTTTGAAATGTACAAGATGCACAGTACAAGACGGTCCAAGAACACAGGATTTTCTCATAACAGCTTAGAAAATATGTGAATCATCTTCTGTCTCTAGAGCTATTGCCTAAAATGAAACCTCCTTGTTTATTAAGAGGTTAAGATGTTATTGGCCAAGAAAACTGACACACAGAATACGAATAAAATTATGTGAATTATTAAATAATATACGAAATAATATTTCAACGCGATATACACAATTCACAAAACAAAACACAATATTCAACACATAAACTGCGCAATGTAAACACACACAAAAAAACTGTTGGGAAAAGAGAGTGCAACTGGAAAATAATACTTTACATTTTAAGCCTTGATAACGTAATCACTTTATATAAGCTGATCATGTTTTGAATGACTTTATTTATGAACTATATAAAAAAAAAATAAGAAAATGGGCGAAAACCAGATAAAAATAAATCCAATACAGTAGCTTTACATCGCTACACAATTATATATTTTTGTCCTAAAATACTTGAACTCACATAAATCATACCATTGTTTATCCTTATCATGATAGGCCTATTACAATTTAGGTGGAGGTGAAATATCACATCACATACTAATTTAACCACACACGTTCTCTTTTACAACGATATGGGCCTGGTTTATCGCAATGATCCACATTATAATTCTCATCGCCCACTTCATCCAACCGTCACGTCTGTAAGCCTGAAGTGAGAAAATACTTGGGCTAAGTAGGTCAATTACGACAGTTACTGCCATTGTGGCGGACAGACGTGCCAGTTGCAACGACAGTTAATTGAATTTTGAGCTACAGTTAAGCGAAACTTTATGCTATTTCCACCCACCCCCAACACTCAGGGGGTCAATCACAAGTTGGGACACTACAGAAATATCTTGAAACAGGTAAAAACAGATGCATTGCTCTTTCTTGATTCCTGATATATCACTGTAAATAACTCACCATCTTAGCTGATGCTCTATAAATATGTCATCATGTATGCTGTCATATTTCTGTGTGGCACACGGCTTATAACTGCACAATACAGCCTTTAAGAACATCAATTCCTTAGCCCCTGTATGTTGTAGATGTTCATAAATTAAAATAATCCTGAGGGCTAAAAGCATGAATGATATTATTTGGACTGAGTATTATCGATAATAATGTTATAGTATTATACTATTAGTGTATAAAGTAAATAAAATATGAACATAGTTTTCATTATTAATATATAAACCGGCATTTAATTTTTCATAGCATTGCATAGGCTATCACAAGGTGCTGAATTAAGGCAGAGACTCTTGCCATGTTCAAGAGTTTGTCTCCCAACAAGAAAATAGCGTGAAAATGCTGCCAAACTTGGTGCACGTCAACTTGTCGGGAAGTTGGAAATTATTGAACATTTCTGAATTTAATTAAAGAAATGATTGTGGCTTTAAGCCAGCGTTTCAGAAATATTGATGCTTAACTTCATAGAGATTAATGAAAGTGATGAAAGATAAATACATTTAATGGGATTTCCTGTGATGCTGATCATTTTAAGGGGCTTTGCAGCATTTAGCCTACAGTTAGTTGTGCTCCTTTCAAACTTAACAGATGCACACAGAACAGCATTACAACGACGGACATCAGCGATGTAAATTAAGAACTTGCCAGGAGGATGAAGGGAGCAATGAGGAAGAAGAGATTACCACTGTTTATTTCAGTTAGGCCTAAAATAAATAAATAGTCGTATATTATCATGCAAAATATTCACTGAGATTATATCTTCTGTTCATTGCAATTAGTTACTTATGCTTAAAAAGTAGGCCTACATAAATTAGCATTGTTTTTTGTAAGCCTATGTTAAATTACGCGTATCACGTGACGCGCAGTGTGGGTCGTTTTAAATGCGATTTTTACCTATATCTTTTTATTCTTCGACAGTGTACAGTGGCTTTGTAACCATAACAACTACAGCCTATTATTTATTAAATGTCAATTTTTTTCTAAGATAAACTGTAAAAACAAAAAAAGAAAGA